ATGTTTCATAATTCCGAAGAGGTCTAATATGTTGACGTGAGAATTATCGCGGACTTCTTTCTGTCCCATAGGAAATAATTGTTTGAGAAATAAAATCTACAACGTTTCCGAAGAGGTCAAAATAATTGCCTAAATGGGAATTATCATGGACATTTTTCTGTCTCATACGAAATAATTATTTGAGAATTATGTTTCATAATTCCGAGGAGGTCTAATATGCTGACGTGAGAATTATCGCGAACTTCTTTCTGCCCCATAGGAAATAATTGTTTGAGAAATAAAATCTACAACGTTTCCGAAGAGGTCAAAATAATTGCCGAAATGGAAATTATCATGAACATTTTTCTGTCTTGTACGAAATAATTGTTTGAGATCAGCTATAACTTTTGCGATGGGGTCTCAATAGTTGCCTACACGAGAATTATTTCGGATATCTTTCTTTCTCGGCAGAAATAATTGTTTAAAAAATATAATCTATAACTTTTCCAAAGAGGTCGCGATAATTGACTCCATCTCGGAAATTTTCTTCTTTTATGAAATAATTGTTTGAGATGTGCAAACTATAACTTTTCCGTAGAGGCCTAAATAATTGCCTATATGAGAATTATCGCAGACAACTTTCTGTCCCAGCAGAGATAGTTTTTCGATACTTATAAGTTTTAAGTATTCGGACGAGGTTCAAATAATTGCATACACGAGAATTATTACGTACAAGTTTGTTTTATATTAATTCTAATATCAACTCTAACTTTTCCGAAGAGGTTTTAATAATTGCCTACCTGAGAATTATCACTTATACCTTTGTCTTATACGAATTGTTTGAGAAATATACGCGATAACGTGTAGGAGTAATTCTAAATAATTGCCTACATGAGAATTATCACGTATATCTTTCTGTCATACCAATTAATTGTTTGAGAAGTAAATAATTGCCTAGATGAGAATTATCACGGACAACTTTCTTTCTAATAAAAAATATTGTTTGAGAAGTATGAACAATAACTTTTTCGAACAGGTCTAAATATTTACCTACGAGAATTTTCACGGACATCTTTCTGTCTTAAATAAAATAATTCCTCGGGAAATATCAGGTATGAAGAATTCTAAATGAGTGCCTACTTGCGAATTATCGCGTATATCTTTCTGCCTTATACGAAATAATACTTTAAGAGATATAAGCTATAATTTTTATGAGAAATTCTAAATAATTGCCTACATGAGTATTTTCACGGAAAATTCTAAATAATTGCCTACATGAGTATTTTCATGGACGTTTATTTTTTTAAAAGAACTATCATCTAAATTTTTACGTGGAATACTGAATAAATACCTACTTGAGAATTATGATGTCTAACTGTTTACCATTTACGAAGGAACTATTTGTGAATTCTCATTAAACTCCTTTACGAAAGGTTTAAATTATTACACATACGAAAGTGATCACTTAAAAAAATGTTGCCTTTAATGAAGTAATTGTTCGAGAAGTATCATGGATGAATTTTACGTATAGGTCTAAACAATTGTCAACATGCATAACTTTCTTTAACGAAATAATTGTATTAAAAGTATCATCTATAAGGTTTATGAAGAATTCTAAATAACTGCCTTCTTGAGGATTATCATACATAACTGTCTGTCATTTACGAAGTCGTTATTAGGGAAAAATCATCATAATTTTTACGAAGAGGTCGAAATAATTACCTACAACAATTGAATTACCACATGTAGACTTTTGAAAAATAGATGTTTGTGAAGTCAACGATAATTTTCAAGACATGATCGAGATGGTTACTAATTGAAAAACATGACGTATCGGTTATTGAGAAGAAATATATGTAACTGTCATGGAGTCTTCTAAATATTAGCCTAATTGAGAAGTAACACGTTTATCCCAATTTGTGTATTGAGAATTGAAGTGTAATTAACTACTAAATTGCGAGTTTTGACGTACGAATTACTATCTTTTATGATGTAACTGAGACGTGCCATCTGTAGCCTTTACAAAGAGGTGTAATTAATTACCTACTTGAGAATTTTCACGTATTAATTACTGCCTTCTGTGATGTAATTGAAACGTGCCATCTGTAGTTTTTACGAAGAGGTATAATTAATTACCTACTTGAGAATTGTCACATACAACTTACTGTCTTCTATGATGTAACTGAATCGTGCTATCTGTAGCTTTTACGAAGAGGTCTAATTAATTACCTACTTGAGAATTGTCACGTACAAAATACTGTCATCTATGATGTAACTAAAACGTGCCATCTTTAGCTTCTACGAAGAGGGGTAATTAATTATCTGCTTGAGAAATGTCACGTACAAATTACTGTCTTCTATGATGTAACTGAAACGTACCATCTGTAGCTTTTACAAAGAGGTGTAATTAATTGCCTACTTGAGAATTGTCACGTTCAAATTATTGTATGTTAACGTGTCATCTATAACTTTTATGAAGTGGTCTAATTAATTACCTACTTGAGAATTGTCACGTACAAGTTACCGTCTTTACTGATGTAAATGAAACGCATCATCTGCAGCTTTTACGAAGAGGTCTAATTAGTTGCCTACTTGAGAATTGTCACGTACAAATTACTGTCTTTTCTGACGCGACTTAAACATGCCATCTGTAGCTTTTACGACGCGGTCTAATTAATTGCCCACTTGAGAAATCTCATGTACAAATTAGTGTCTTTCAGGATGTAACTCAAACGTTCCATCTGTAGCTTTTACGAAGAGGGGTAATTAATTGCCTACTTGAGTATTGTCACTTACTGTCTTTTACAGTGTATCTGAAACGTGTCATCTATAACTTTTGTGATGTGGTCTAATTAATTTCAGAATTATCGCCTTTTTATGACTTAAGTGATAGAAATATGGAGAAGTATCAGATGACGTCTAAATAATTGGCTCTATTTTTTGCATCCTGTACAGCTAAAAGATTTTGCGAGATAATTGAATATTTGTGTATTATTCTGCATCTCTAATCTTCTTCCATAACTAAGTCTAAATAATTTATTGCTTGCAAAATATTACTGTCGTTTATGGAGTACATTTCTGCTCTTGGCACCGCGGGTGTAGATTTTTATATTGGACGCATGGTTGAATGAATTAATGCATTCGTCATACAAATCGTATTTCCAAGCAGTTGTGAGTTCAAATTCCCGGGGTCAGGAGTTACTTGAAAATCTCAAAATTTCCAAGAATGAACAGCCGAAAGAATTATTAAGAATAATTTCCATTAACTGATATTAAATATCTCCTATCTATCTATCTATCTATCTATCTATCTATCTATCTATCTATCTATCTCGGTCTGTTCATATCTACCTATCTAAGTGTGATCAGATCTATCTATCTATTTATCTATCTATCTGTCTCGGTCTGTTCATATCTACCTATCTAAGTGTGATCAGATCTATCTATCTATTTATCTATCTATCTATCTCGGTCTGTTCATATCTACCTATCTATCTCAGTGTGATCAGATCTATCTATCTATCTATCTATCTATCTATCTATCTATCTATCTATCTATGTATCTATCACACACCCTTTCTACTTGAATATATTAAGTTTACAAATTAATAATATCTCCTTTTCACATGACAGTAAGGTTTTGCTTCTTTTTTTTTTTTTTTTAATTCTTTTTAGCTTCCTCCAATACTTTCCTCACTATTCTAACTGATTTTAGTTACTCTAATCTCTGGGTGATTTCAACAGTTTTTCCTCAGATTTTCTATTATTCCCACCTTTTCGAAAGACTCTTCAACGCTCTTCCAAGCATACCAATGATACTGAGTCTTCCTATGTGCCGTACCTCTCCAGTGTAGGTCAATGTCATCTTGATAAAACTAGACGCATAATCTTACCTAGCAACTCAACTACATTCCTTCGTTCCACCTGTTCTAACCCTCACGCTTAAAACCCCGCCATACCACGCCCATTGTAACGAACCACCCTAATTCCTTTCATATTCCTTTGGTCAGATGTAAATTCCATTTCTTCGCACGAACCACTGCTCTGTGGGACCGACTCCGAAGAGGATGTTTTCACGATCACTACAGACTTGGCCTATTCAAGTGTCAACCGTTATATTCTTCACATATCTGCAAAGACTCTCTTTCTTACTCTATAACACTATACCTCGAATAGCACTTAAATGAAAATCAAAGTAAAAAAAAAAAAAAACAAAAAAAAAATCTTCACATTATCATCGATTGTGAGAATAACAAGGTCGAATTTTATTTTTTTTTCAACACTTCCATGTCTGGTTGCATCGACACTGAGTAGTGTTTACCCTGGACACCAGCGCGAACACTTGCACTTTACTTGGAAGTCATATCGAAGATTAAATAGGAGACAAACAGGGTAGGATTTACACTAAAATCAATGGAGCTGCACTAACTCTACAAGTGTATACATTCAGTGAGAGCGTACAACACACAACGCCACCTGTGGCCGCTCGGGGATTAGTCCGGCAGTTGCATGAAATTCCGCGTCCTTGTGGGTGATGGATCTTTTTCTACACTGACGAAATATCGTAAGCCTCTCGTTACTCTATCGCCAATTCCATGGAAAGTGCTCAGATGAACTATATCCTTTAGTTCCACCAATTCTAACCTTGACGGTCAAGACCCACCATACCACACCCATTGTAACGAACCACCTTCATTCCCTTCATATTCCGTTGGTCAGATGTAAGTTCCATTTAAGCAGCTTCTTCCCATGAACCACTCGATTACAGTCTACAGCGAAAATTCCTGCTTTAGGTCTCCGGTCGTTATTAATTTGCTTTTTATTGACTAAATCTTTTACTATTTTCAAGTAGTTGTCGGAAATTTTAAGTTTAGATAGGATTATTTTCTAGTTTTATCCTTATTGAGTCTGAGATTAGGAAAGAGGATCATTGGTATGCTTGGAAGAGCGTTGAAGAGTTTTAAAAATATGGCCTAGATTAAAAATAGAGGGTGTCTAGTTTTATCAATATGATATTGGCCCTACCCCATGGAAACATGAAAGACGGTATCATTGGTATGCTTGGAAGAGCGTTGAAGAGTCTTTCGAAAAGTAGGGGATAGAAAATCTGAGGAAAATCTGTTGAAATCACCCAGAGATTAGAGTAACTAAAATATTGAGGAAAGTGTTGGAGGAAGCAAAAATAAAAAAAATAAAATAAAATAAAAATAAAACAAAACAACAAAAAACAACAAAAAAACTTACTGTCATGTGATCTCGTGAAAAAACCGTATTATTATTAATTTGTAAGCTTAATTAATATATTCAAGTACAACGGGTGTGTTATAGATAGATAGATAGATAGATAGATAGATAGATAGATAGATAGATATGAACAGACCGAGAAAGAAAGAAAGAAAGAAAGAAAGAAAGAAAGAGACTGGGATAGAAAGAAAGAAAGAAAGAAAGAAAGAGACTGGGATAGATAGATAGATAGATAGATAGATAGATAGATAGATAGATAGATAGAGATATGAACAGACCGAGATAGATAGATAGATAGATAGATAGATAGATAGATAGATAGATAGATAGAGACTGGGATAGATAGATAGATAGATAGATAGATAGATAGATAGATAGATAGATAGAAAGAGACTGATATAGATAGATAGATAGATAGATAGATAGATAGATAGATTGTGGGAGGGAAGAGGGAGAAATAACGAGTGAGAGCTACAGAAGGGTGGAGTGAGACGTGAGGAAATATATAAGGAGTTGTAGAGAGGAGTTGTGATTGAGGGGAAAGTACAAGGAGAAAGAGAGAGTGACTAGAGTCGGGAGGTGGGACGGAAGTCGGATGGAAGTGGGAAAACCCTGTAAATTAAGAATTAATTAATCGCCAGGTTTGTTTAATTACCTTGTCTGATTGCCTTGAAAATAAAAGGAACACTATGAGAAAAGTAAAAAAAATTAAAAAAGGTTTATATATATATATATATATATATATATATATATATATAAAAAAAATAAAACAATATATCTATATATATATATATATATATATATATATATATATATATATATATATATATATATATATATATATATATATATTATATTATTATATATTTCTTAAACGTTATTTGTTAGTGGATATTTGTTATTTGAATAGATTTGAATCCAATTATTTATTAAAAGTATATTTATTTATTTTCGTCTACAGGGGTGAATATTTATAAGGCTTTATTCAACGTCCACTGTTCATTTACGCACTTTGTGGGTGAGACAGTCTAAAGCTCTTTGGATATATTGTTGTTTTTTATTTTTTGCCAAGATGGACGCAGGTTCGAATCCTGTCGGTGAGCGCATATTTTTCGAATATAGAAGGAACCGGAAATCGGAAACCTGAAACCTAATCCTAAACAGGAAACAGGAGATAAATCTCTACTCCTGTTAAAAAGAACGAGGTGGATGTGAACCGGATAAATTGATAGAGAATGTCTTATTAGTTTTATGGTTAAGGCTTCTTGTATTTACTGTCGTTTTTGCTACAGTTTATGTGGGATAAGCCCTCTAAAGACATTGGACAGTTTATATTCAAATTCCGAAAAATGTTCAACAGCCGGGAAAATATTAAACAAATTATCAAAAACAAAGAATTGTTATCGATCTTTATCCAAACATGCTAGTGTGTGTGTATGTGTGTGTGTGCACTATGGGGGTAGCAGACAATTCTTTGTCTGACCCACTTCCCAATATCTGACCAAAAATTAAAGGATGGAACATTTTCGCGAATTTTGGCGACATTCTGGGGTTATATTATTTTTTGTCCCATTCCTTCATGAATTTATTTTGCTTATGCTGTTCTCGATAAAAACACTTTATCAAATTTATAGTAAAAAAACAAGATCTAAGATTTAAAATTCAAATAAAATAAGAATTGACTGATTTTGTTAGAAATAAAAATTTTGAATTTACAAAATTTTTTAAACACAATAAAAAGCGAATCCAAAAGAAAATCCCGTGAATTTTCACATCTTGATTGAATTGTTTTTCAGGTTTGCCAATAGAAAACTAGGAATCATTTAAAATAAAAAATTCAAATAATTTTTTTTTTTTAAACAAATTATTTATGGACCTTTTCCGAGCCGACGCGCAGTTTGTTTGTCGTCCAATGGAAAGGCCTGAATCATATCTGTAAAATGAATACAAATTGACGTTTTCAAGCACTAAACAAAATAAAAGTCGAACTTCGAAACTGTCACCAAAGAGAGAAGGAGACAAGGTATAAACAATATAGATCTTGACAAACGTCAAATCGGTTATTTTTTATCTTCAATTTTTTCCTCATTTATATTTTTTATACTTGATAAACGAACGGAACATTTTTTAAGACTGCTAAGTTCGATTTTCCAAAAGACATACATTTTTAAATACATAACGCACATACATACACATCCACACATACGTTCCTGCCTACGTATACATAAATTCATTCGAACAAGGACCACTACGAAATATTTTGAGGACCTTGTATCAACCAAAATACATTAATTTTATTTTGTAAAGATCATAATTGATTTATATGTATATAAATTTGTTGTTTCACTTTACAATTTATTTTTCTTTTTTTATACCATTCTTATGGTGGGCTATCTAACAAGGCCAAATAAAACTAACCTGTTTTCACACTCATACACTTTACTATATTTGATAACCCACTACAATTACAAAATAAAAATGCGTCCCGAAAAAAAGGACGCGTTCTTATATCAGTTGCGTCGTCGCGCATGCAAAGCCACCAACACATGCGCTATGACGGAATTACAAATGGCGACCATGACTGCCCCTTTGGTCTCATGTCACTATAGACAGATCCCTATGAGTCCGATTAAAAAAAGGACACACATCATGGAATTTAAACAAGTTTGAACTCTGAAATTTTATTCACTGTTTATTTCATTTAATTTTTCTCTCCTTCACCAATCGTCCGGTTCACACTCCTCCCTGGTCTTTGAACAAGAGATTGCTCCCTTGTTTCCTGTTTAGGATTAGGTTTCCAGTTCCTTCTAAAGTCTACTCCAGTTCTATACTCATAACGCTTGTCTTTTCTTCGCTAATATAAGTGCACACATTAATCCTTTACCTTGAGTGATTCTTGGGCCTTGTATTGAGTAAACATTAATAAAGAAAAAATAAATATTTTTAATGAATAAATAAATATTAAAAAATCATGCTGCAGAAATTTAAAAAAAGATAGTTCAACATCATCTTCAGTTAATGTCAAAGAAGGTAAATGATAAAATTTGAAAAAAATTATGCAGCTTGTAACTATCATCAAGGGGCGATAATCCAACACTCTTCCCACTCATACAACAACTTCCTTCAGACAGATCACTAGGAGCCCGGTTAAAAAAAAGGACCGCTCAGAATTTTGAATTAAAATTTTATTTTGATTTTTTTAACGTGTGTTTGGGTTACATAGTCTGATTTAGTTTCTTTTATTTATTTATTTTTTTACTTATGATTTAATTCTTTTCGCATTATATATCTCACACTGTGATAATAGAAGATCTGCCAAGAAGTGTTGTAAGAACTTAGACGTAAATTTACTATGGATAATCTAGCGATTAAAGCACTTTCTATACATTTTATATACATTCTATCACCTCAGTAAATTGTTTTTTCCTAATTAAAATAGCTTTTTTTTAATCAAAATTATTATCAAATTCATTACAGTAAGCAATTAATGAATTGAATGTTTTGTAAAAGAGCCCTTCTGTGTTCTTATAATCTTTTATTGAAATTTCTTGAGGTTTCATCTATGTATTCCATGTGTCAACTATTACAGGTCATAAAGTAAATTCCTCCTTCAAGTTTTAGCTTAATATTTTGTCATGAGAAAACTTTTTTCACTTTGTCATAGATTTTACTAAAATTGTTTTTTTGCATATATATATATATATATATATATATATATATATATATATATATATATATATATAATGTTAGAGGTTTTAAAATTTTTGTAATAAATAATTAATCTATATTTTTGCTATTGTCAAATTTGGTGTTATGCATTTTTATAATGTTCTTAATTCTGCATTCGTCCTGTTTATAATTTTCGTTCATCTGATTTTATAAAAATATTAATATTATTTTTTATGTTTCTTTATTTCTCCGTTGTTTAGCTACATTAGACAAGAAAACGCCTAATTGGAAATCCAACAATTGATTAAGAAATTGTTATTATTTGCTTTACATTGTTTTAATCTTTAAAGAAATTGCAAGTGGATGAGTTCTCGTGCGTTCTCGTGAGGAAATTTTAATAACAGCTATTTTAAATCTAAGAGGGTATTCACTATTTAAAATTAAGATGGTAAGAATCTTATTTAGTTGTTTTTTTTTTATACAGTTTTTATTTTAAAATATTTATTTATTACTAAAATAAACGAGAACATCTAAGAAAAGAAGATTATTATTTATATGGGTTTATATTAAAAATTTAGGACGGAAATTTTGTTGAAATGTACTTTCAGATTTTTATTTCTTTCTGATTTTCAGCTAAATATAAATATATCGTCTACAAAACAAATATATTTTAGGTTTAATAACTTTAGTAAAAAACCTTGTTTTCAACATTGACATATAATAATTGAGAAGTTAAAAACCTGAGAGCGTTTCCGATACTTATTCCATCAGTTTGTATAAAAATAGAACCATTTCATATAAAAGGAAACAACATTTAGTGGTGCAACGAGCAATAGTTTTATTAAAATATTGGGTTGGATTGATGGAGGTGGAATTAAATTATTTTTTATACACCGAATGATAATATCAATAGTTTCGGAGACGGGAACTTTAGTAAATAAATATAAAATTGTTTTTGGCAAGAATGCCGTGGTTTGTTTTTATGAAATATGTGTGTGTGTGTGTGTGTGTATCGTGTAAAAGCAAAATTGTCCATTTGTTAGATTAAGATTTGAACCGTTGTATCTTAGAAATGATTAAAGATATCTTACTGGAATTCTCCGAGGTTTTTTATAACACTATTGGACTCTACTTTGAGTAATACGAATGTATAATTACTCTCCAAGCTTAACAGAAGAATCGTGATGAAATCGATCATAAACAAAAATGACATGTTCATCATTAATTAATCATAGCTAAGGATCGGAAGCTCATGATGATTAAATTGAAATAATATATATATATATATATATATATATATATATATATATATATATATATATATATTCCAGGATCATTTTCCAACTTATTCGAGATGATCTTCGCGCTCTCTAACCTTCTAACTTTCTGTCCTAGACTAACGAGGTGACTCAAACGTTTCACGTACGATTTTCAAGTCTTTTTTTCACTGCTCGTTGGACTGTCAAAGCTGAAACTCCTCTCTTACGTGCCAAACGTCTTATGGATCTTTTCTAACTGATCTCTTTTTGTCTAACTTGAAATGAGGATCCCTCTTCCTGTTGTGACTTTCTGATCCAGTTTTCCTCTCTTACTGTTTCCTCTTTTTAAAAAACTTATTCACCGTTCTCTTGATGGTTCTTGAATGGACTTTGAAGATGGAAACCAGAGTATGAATGTTGTTACCATTACTGAAGGCCTGAATGATCTTTTTTCCTCTCACCATTGCTCATTTGGGAAGACACAGGATCTGACACAAAACGATTTTAACCTGTTCTCTTTCTAGCTGAATAACTCAAAATTTTTTTTTCAGTGATTCTTACGACAAATGGTGTCAAGATGGCTAAACGTCTTATCTGAAAAACCTGAAAAAAAAAAGAAACTCAATTAGTTTAGTTTTTTTTTTTTTTTTTAGATATTAAACATTTTGTGGGATGGACAATTATGCTGTTACACGATTTGGACAATTTTGCTGTTTATATATATATATATATATATATATATATATATATATATATATATATATATATATATATATCGTTTCAATATATAGATAAAACATTTAAATACCAAATCCCATATGAATAAAACATTCAATTATGTATATGTTAATTATTTGGAAACGAAACCTAAAAAATAAAATAAAAAAATTCATTGATTTTGTCCGGCTGTCGGTTTTTAGGAAGAGTCGAGTAAAATATATATATATATATTTATTCCGGGAGAATATATAAATATATATATATATATATATATATATATATATATATATATATATATATATTATTCAATGAGGCATATTGAAATGGAAAAACAAATAATAATAAAAAAATATAATATATAAATATATATATATATATATATATATATATATATATATATATATATATATAATTTGTCTCAACATTAAAAATATTATATAGCGACAAATTTCATGACCAACGCAAATCGTCAATCGCTTAACGAAATGCGTCTAAGCATGAAAACAGCCTGTAAACCTTTTGAGATGTTAATAGAAAATGTTTATACTTTATATTTATATTTACTTATATTTATTTGGTCTTGAAAATTTTATTCATAATATTCTACTTTTTTATATATTTTTCATACACACACACACACTATTTTTTCGCACACACACACATATATAAATATAGATAAATTATATAGATAGATAGATAGATAGATAGAATAGAATGTAATTAATGTTTTCAAAATTTTAATCTGTTGGATAATTGAACAAAAGGATTTAATCGTTAAAGTGATAAATTTTTTAATTCCAAATATAAAATATTAATTAAATAATTTTTAGAAAGAGAAAATTTTCCTTTTTCCATTTATAATTTTTATCCTCAAAAAATATATTTTTCATTATGGTTCATCAATCACATGGAAAGTTATCCAAAGGAATTAATTAATTTTATATTACAATTTAAAACAAGATTTTGTTTGATATTTTTAGATTGATATAAGGTGACAAAGTGAAAAATAATGGGGGGGGAATTTATAGAATATCACAATCTATATTGAAATAGAATGTAGGGATAGGTTTTTTTTGAAAATTTTTTCATTAAATTGGTTTTTAAAGAGTCAAGACAATTTGAATTATTTAAATAAATATTTTATTTTATATATATATATAAGATATATATATATATATATATATGAAGAAATATATTTTTAAGGTTTACTATATTTATGGGATAATTTTCAATTTTAAGATATAAATATAAATATTTTCTTTTAATTCTTTTCAACATTATAGGTGATTTTTAATTTCATTTGACAAAATTTAATATTAACAGCTTATCAGAATAAAACGTGGCTAGAACAATTTTTTTTTTTCAATAGGATCGAAAATTTTTGAATTTGTTGAAAATTCAGTCGAAGATTCTACCAACTTTTTTGCACGGCAGGCATGAAGGTGATTTTTTTTTTTTTTTTTTTAGATAAACACACAGTGACTGATAGGGAAATAATTCATTTACTGAAGAGTCTTGCATTATTATATATTTATAATAGTTCACTTTTAAAATTCATACATAATTCCTTATTATAAGAATCAAAATAAAGAAATATTCTTTTCAGAAATTATTTTGATATATATACTTGATAGAAACAATATATATATATATATATATATATATATATATATATATATATATATATATATATATTATTTATATTGGCGCAAACCACTATATATATATATATGGGCCTTATATTATATATATATATAAAATTGGTTAAAACAAATTGTTTATTCCATATTCGTTGTTAGTTTTTTAAAATGTTACAAAATGTAATAATAGGAAATATAGAGGCCCACTGAATGAAACATATTCATAGAAATTGTTAAAAAATTGTTGAATTGACGACCCGCCAGTGGGTCACTAATTTTTTAAATTATATA